AAGAGCGAGAGAGATAAAAGTAGCTGGGGCGTCACGTGCGACAAAATAAGAAGAGGAAAAAGCACAAGCTAAGAGGAAATCGTTGTAATCGCTGTAAATGTTAACTTGTACGGCACAAGGTTACTAAAAATAGTCAACGCACAGTTAGGCACTGAAAGAAACGGACAACAACAAAAATAACATATGTATAATAATAATATAATACAATATAATAATAACCCTAATAATAAGGCCTCGTCATCTCCTCCAATAAGCCCAAATGTTTTCATTATTTTTTGTAACTAGTGCCGTACTCCATTGGGAGTAAACAATTTTTTTTTAAATATTTTTTTCTGTGTAAATACACATATGTACATAATTACAAATACAAATGCTGACCATCGAGTTCCAACGCGTCGGCCGAAAACGTTTTAGATTTATTTTTAAAAGCGTCTGTAAGCGGGGCCTTATCTACGTAATCGGCCGGGAGAGCGAGTCACACCTCCTCCAGATCCGGAGAGCCTCTCGATTAAACTATTTATATATGTACATGTATATATATATGTATGTATATGACTTGTATGAATCTATATCCCTCTCCAAACGATTCGAATTCGCTCGCTCAGTTGTGTGTTTACATTGTCAATTCGCAGATCTGCCATCAGAAGCCGGAAGCGATGAGCGATTGCTGCACATAACGCCGGGCACTCTGACATTGGACTACAAGCCCCATCCCGCGGTGGATATCGATCAGCAGATCATGGAGGTGAGTTCCCCGCCGATCGGATCGGATTGATAATCCATTCTTGGAATTATTGTAGTGATGAAATAGCACCCGTGCTGTTTGTCATAACATCTCACAGTTTGTCATAGCGTCATCGAAATTATCATCCAAATCCCCAAAACACATGGAGCATAAACGAACCGGGCGGTGTATCACTTAGTTATTAAACAAAATCGGAGGAGATCTGATGAAAGCGGAGCCCAAAATATATATGTATGATCCTCTTGTTTCCATGGCCAGTTATAGAACAACGAGTGGGGTTATCAACATTTCAGAACTTTTTATTTCAATTTAATGATGAAATGACTGTCTGGGTTATTTTGTTTAACATCAATAAAATCGATCGTGATGTCATCATCTTAATCTTAGAAGGTGTTTTAGTCTGCATTAGTCTAATATTCAGGAAACTTAGGTGTACACAACTTAAATCCGGGATATCACAGAAAGAAATGGAATATGATTAAGGGGTACTTCTGAGCACCTTGAAATATAATATCAAATTAACGAAGAAAAGGTTGAGCTTTCATTATTTTTTATTTTGTTTATTTCTTACTAGTACCAGTTTAGTTAAAATTTTAGCTTTTTTTAAAGTACCTAAAAATACCTAGAGTTCTTGAGTGAAAGATGTTATCTATGATTTCTATTAAAAGGCCTTTTGTTAGATTAACCTTTAACATTATCGTTTTTAAAAGGGTAACACAATTTAATGTTTGAATTTAACTTAAATTTGCATTCAAAATTTAATTGCACTGAACGAAATGCTCATTTTTTTTAGAATCTTAAAACACCATCTGCGTTTTTATGGCTTAATTTAAAGCGTTTTGTTAAAGTAATTCGAATCGACTAACGTGATTTTCCTAGATAAATTTAAACTGACTTAAAACTTTAAAGGTAAAAGGTTAATTAGAAAAACCTTGCTAAATTATAGAACAAACCGCAATCTTTTTTCTTTTGCCAAGAACTCTAAATGTATGTACCATTTTTTCATATCGCTTGGCCAGCTTTTCCTGTCCAGTTTCTCCAGCTGCCTTAGTTTTTTTTTTTTTTTTTTTTTGTATTTCCCTTGGTAATGCTATGTTGTTTTATTTTTGTTGAGCTTTTCGCTTTCCGCTTTATTTATACTTTATTTGCCTGGCTCTGGCCATGCTCTTGTGTTGCATGTGTGTGTTGTGTGTGTAGTGTTGTGTGTGTGTGTGGTTTTGAACTGTGTGTGCCGATGCGATGCTGCTCTGCTCCTCTTGTTGGGAGTCTAAATTTAAACGCGTGTACAACTTAATGATTCTATATTTATTGTTTTCACTACGAAAATATGTATGAGTTTTTGCGCATTTTTTAAATAAAGTCCTCTAAAAATAGAAGAAAACCGAGTCAAGAGAGCCGCACGGCGAGCGAGAAATGTCAGAGAAGATGCGAGTGCGGAGGATATAAAGATATCGCTGACTATAATGGACTCCATTGCTTAAAAAAATATTTTTGAAATATTTTTGGTGATAACAAAAGACATTTGATGGAACTCAAATGGGGTTTTTTTATGACATATTTAGAGATAATGTAAAGATCATTAAACTTTTGAGATTTTTTGTTTTTAATAATTTTGGATTTGTTATTCTAAATCGTTTTTTATAGAAATTTTAACAAAATAAAAGATATAAGTATAATTTGAAATCACTTATTAATAAGAATAAATATAAATTTATAGACATTTTAAAATAGATTAAATATTTCATTTCTTTAGCTGTTAAGGTTTGTTAACTGTATTTAACCAAAATGTTTGGCATTTGTTTCGTGTCGCTCTCTAAGTTGTTTCCACTGTGGCCGGGCATGATGGCCAGCATGTGCAGGCAGGCCCACCTGCTCGACCCCCCGGCCCCCCTCTCCCCTCTCTCTCTTTCCCTCTCTGTCCCATGATTCTCCTCCCCCCAAATGCCCCTGTTCTTTGTGGGGCGCTTCTTCTTCTTACTTCTGGTGCTGCTTGCATTCAATTTATAGTCTCGGGGATTTATTTATGCCTCGATTTTTGGCTGCAGTTTGCTTTCTTATTTTGTCGTAATTTGTGTTTTTTTTTTACTCGTTGGTTCCTCCGTCGCATTTCTTTTGTTTTGTTTTCGTTTGAAATCTTTATTTTTAGGGTAAAAGAGTGTTTTATATGCAGCCTTATGCTCGACGTGGTCTTCTTCTTAACTGCTTGCCATGCCCTGCCGCCCACTTTTTTTTTAGCTTAGCTAAGTGCATTAAAAAAATTCTATTATTATTTCAAGGATTGTGTTTTAAACCAAAAAGTAGTACAAATTATAAGTGGCTTTTTTTTATTAAATATTTCAAAAAATTTTTAAAAAACGTTTAAATTAACATTTCATTATGGTTTAATAGTTAAAGTAAAAAACAAAATGAATATCCTTTTTTTTTTACATTTTTAAAAATTACCTGTCGAAAAAACATAAAGCTCGAAATGATTTTATTTCTATTTTTTTTTAACACAAGAAACTTCCAATATTTTCCTCTCTATGTAATTTGCCCATTTTCATCCCATTTGAGCTGCCTTCGTTTTTCATCAACGCGTTTGCCGTTTTTGTTATTTTCGGTTTTTCCTTTGAATTTATTTTTGTTCTTTTATAAACTCTGCGGGTTTTATTTTTAACAAGCACACACACTAACACACACACACTTGGCTGGTTAGATCACGCACACATAAACAATTGCCAATCAGTGAAAATGTTTTATAGAATTCCTCAGTCCATTTTCCTTTAGCATTTTGTGTTCTGTTTTCGTGGCACGAGCAAAATGCAAATTAGCAAAAACTGGTGGGGGAGTGGGTGGGTGGGGTGTTGGTGGTGATGGTGATGGGCGTGGTGTGGGAGGGTTGACAAGATCTTAATGAAGATGATCATTGATCTTTGATCTTCGCACACAAATTAGGCAAGAATAGTTTTTCATTTGGTTAAAGAGAACGCAAAGATTGGAATTTAATTGCGATGGCAAAATATATAGAACGCAGATACAAAGTTCTGCGATGAAAACATCCTAGACAGTCTAATTCAATTGGAATGCGATGGTTCCATTTCCTAGTATCAACTGAAAATCCTAATAAAAGATCTACAACGCATTGGTTTCCGTATAAAAATATGGGATTTCTTGCAGATAAATAAACACTTTATAAATACTTTAGATTTATAACTTTCATAGATTAGTAATTTATTTTGAAATGCTAGATTCAAAACTTGTTCTTGTTGTTTGTTTTATGGCTCATCTGCAACTATAATTAACCACTTAAAAAACAAAACAAATGGCTTAACAAAGCATAAAAATAGATCAAGCTGTGATCGATTCCACGGAATCTATTTTTCTTTCAATTTCCGGAAATTCCTCATTCGATCTCAACCGACATCGTCATCATCATCGCACTTGGATGATCATTGAATTAGGGTAGACTCACTGCATTTATCCGCTTTCATTTGTTTCCCCACCCTCCTCCTCCTCCTCCTCTTTCTCCACCTCCTCCCCCTCCTCCTTCGTTTTCTTCTTCTTTTTTTAACCCGCTCCGATCCCGATCCACAGTGTTTCTATTTATATGGGCGTGCCTGTGTGTTGTCTTTTGGCCCGCTATAATTATAGCGCAGGTATTTATAATTATAGCATTGGCCATAGCAACTGGCGAATGTTGTGCAAGCGGGCGTCGCTGCAGGGGGCGGTGGGTGCTTTTCGGGGGGTGGGGCGTTGGTACTGCAGTTTCCTAGGAATCGAATCAAACCGATGTGGCATATGGTAAAAGGGTTCCATCGTTATAATAACAAAAACAGAGCATCTTCTAGCAGAAGTTAAATTGACCATTGGTCAGCCTTCTGCTTTGCAACTTGATTAATATATCAAAAGAATCCCAAAAAATAATACATTTTTATATAGAGAGAAAGTAAAAAAAAAACAAATCAAATGAATCATATATTTAAAAATGCAAAAGCAAAGACATTAGATTTTTTAAAATGTGAAAAATACATTCATTCAGTTAACATTTGAATATGAGTCCTAAAAATATCAATCTAATCCCAAACTTATCAACTTTTTATTGGGTCAAGCATAATATGAAACAATATACTTTTGTTGTGTTTTATTTTTAAACGGGTAATTAAGATTAGAATTCCAAATTATTGAATAAGTCATAACAGTGAAATCATTCTCATTTTATATATAACTTTTCACAACGATTAAGTAAATTTGAAAACAACAAAAAGTCATAAACAAAGTTTTGTCATTTATTAAAAAGTCTAAAATTTAAGCAAAAATATCCAATTTAAAATAAGTTTGCAAAAAATGACAGTGTAATGTTAGGAAGACTAGTGCTTTTTTTGCAGTGTAAGTTTCAATTGCTAATTGTTAATATGTTTGGGTGATGATGTTTGGCTGAGGGTTCTCTTAGAATCTTAGAACCGAAACGCCCATTTGTCTACCCAAGTTTTCGCTCTCTGTCGCCCTCTGTCTTCAGTCTTCTGTCTTTAGTCTTCAGTCTACAGTCTACAGGCTTCGGTCTTCTGCTTTCCACTTTCTTCACCTCTCTTCCGATGTGTGCTCTTCTTCTAGCGGCGCTCTCTTCCACAGCGGAACGTAACCATTTCGAAATTTGTGTGTTTATATTTGATTTTTTCGCCAGTTGGGCCAGTCGGCCGAGTGAAACTGAAATGAAAGCGCCTCCCTCATTTCCCAGCGAATGCCGAGGCCAAAGCGAACGCGCCAAACGCCAAAAGAAAGATACAAATAGAGACACAAAATAAAATAACAAAATAAAAATATCACCAACAAAAAAACAAAAAAAAAAAAAAAACACCGAAAATTAAAACAAAAAATAAAAATAAAAGCCAAAACACACACACCACCATTCAACGTAAACCAAACACGCAGTTTTTCGGAAATTCCATGAAAAAGTGCCTGACCAAAAAGTTTTTAGCCAAATATCGAAAGCAAACAGTCGGAAACTATACAAAAAGAGCACAAAAACAAAAAACACAATAGAAAACAAAGAGTTATAAGAGAGAGAAAAAACAAATTAAAACAAAAGTGGCCGCAGAAACCAAAGATTGTTTATTGAGTGAAGTAAGCTGAAAAGTGAGAACACCTCTATTTCCACCTGAAAATCACATTTACCCAAGACAAATCAAACAAAAACAAGAGATAAACCGCATCTGCTTTATTTATTTATTTATTTCCCGTTTATTTTTGCATGTGTGACTGCGTGGGGGGTGACACTCACACACGCACACTCACAAGCACACACGTTTAAAAAGAAAATAAAACAAGGAGAGAGAGAGAGAGAGTAGAAAGCATATTGCTAAGGTCATGGGAAATATGCAAATATTATGACACATCCGAAAAGGCAGAAGTGATCTCGAAAAAAAAACAAAATGATAATTTGCAAAAAAAGAACCACACAGTGATTCGTTTATTATCGTTAATCGGTTAATATCGGATTTTTATCGCTAAATTTGCCTGCTTTTGTAGTTAATCGATAAACTATTGTTGCTTATCTGTGATCTTTAATTTGCAATTCATAATCAATGAACTATTGTGCTATATAAACGAGCTATGTAATTAGTAATCTATGATCAGTGAACTTTGATGAGCAGTCTGTGTATAATTAAAACGTAATACCATTTCAAACTAAAACAGGAATAGAAAAAACATGTTCCCAATGAAATACATAAACAAAATCACTAGCATATTCAAAACATATCTTCCAAGTAATTTCAAAGTCAATCGAAATTCGTAGATATTGTATTATACGAAGCAAAGAAATTAAGCATACAAATTAGGGTAAAAATAGAGCTGGGAACTCCAAATGTTTTACTTTTAGAAATTAAAACTGATTGTGTTTAAGATAGTAATTGAAAATAATAGATAATAAAGAATTGATAACCACCACTTGACAATAGACGATACTTTGCTATAAAACCTCTCAAAAGAATTCCTATAAATTGTTTATTTTTTTTATTGTTTTCTTTGCAGCTCAAGAAGAGCCAGGAATTGCAGAAACAGCAGCTTTTCTACACGTTTCAGGAGCAGACGAAGCAGATGGAATTGGAGCACAAACTCCAACTGGAGCACAAGTATCATGTGAGTAGAATCGAAGACGCCGTTCAGTTGATGTTCTACAATTCTTTTTGCTGCTGTTGCCACTACTCACTTACATATTTATTTATTTCGCCCGTCTTTATGATTAATAATAATGATGATGTGAATGGCTTTTGTGGGGGCGACAGACAGAAATCGCAGAAAAAAAAAAATATTGTATGAAAATAAATAAAAACAAACGACAAAGTAAAAGAGAATTGAAATGAAATGAAATTATATGAAATGTATATATTATATTATCGTGCCGGAAGTGTCGGAAGCGTCTTGTGTGATGACTAAGGCCATCGTTAACACTCAGTAGATATAGCCATGTCACTCAGGTCTACTATACAATGATCCAGAAATTGTCTCGTTAAATCGTTGACGATCTCTATTTTTTCCGACATTTATTGGCTCGGTTTATTGGAGCAATATAAATTATGTGTAATGGCTAGAGATGCACAATTAGTCACCATAAGGATTTTTATTTTCTCAGATATTTGCCGGAAATGAAATCGTATTCGTTGGAGCTGTTTTTGACACCTCGTTAATTTTATTTTAATGGAAATGGTTTAAAAATATAATTATTGCAACTATGTTCAGAACTAGTCACCTTAAGGATTTCGTTTTTAGGAAACACTTTCCTTTACTCCGGATTTATTTTCAAATAGGAATAATCATTAGCAAAATTGTAGTAATTAATTCATTTATTTATAATTAATAGATAAAGGAAAGTTATAACTGATATAGGCTATCATTAATATATCAATTAATATGTATTGGCAACAGCAACCACAATCGAATCTAACCAACAAGAATGCATAAATTTCTGATTACTCCCCAAAAATCACCACGATAAGAAACAACAAACAAACAAACGATTCTCTCTCGAACTTATTGTAATTATTCAGTTTGCGGTGAATTCACATGGCGCTTTCCAGGAATTGCGAAACGAGACAATGGTGACAGCCGCCGCTGCGGTGGCTGAGGAGCAACTGCGCCAGCACCAGCAGCAACAGCAACACCAGCAGCAACATCAGCAGCAGCAGCAGCACCAACATCAGCAACAGCAGCAACATCAACAGCAACAACAGCAACAACAACGCGGCAGAGACGGCATGAAACCCAAGCAGATCTGCAGTGCAAATGCCAGTCCCGAGGTCAAACAGATTCTCAACGTAAGCTACATACCATATATCCTAGATAACTAGATCGAGTAAACCCTTGAGGATACGATCTAATCGAATCTCCATTCGCTTCCTTTCAGTGCTTCATCCTGAGCAGGAAATCGCAGGCGGCGGCTTCGAATGGCACAACGACAACGTCGCCCTACAGAAATCGGTAAGAGGATAAAGCTAATGCATTACTAATCCACTGTAAATCCAGTGAAGTAAAAAATAATAAAATATTTTCCAAGGAGTTAAGATGACTTAGTATGCCATTAGATGTATTTATTTCAAGCGGTTAGAACAACATGTTGTATCTTTTTCTGAAAAACTTCGAAATGGTTCTTGCCGTTTTTTTTGTTTAAATCTCTCTCTGACCTCAATAAACTATATTTATAATGCTGATTTAAATATTCAGTTACTATTTTTTTGTAATACTTTTTTTTAGTTAAACCTGCTGAATTCCAAATCTAAAGAAATTGAAGTAAATTATTTTTATACATTTTCAGTAAAATATTCCATAGTTGGCAACTGAACAGGTTTATTATCTGCAATTGGTTCCTACCTTTACTTTACTGCTATCTTAAGACTATAATTGAAACCTAAATAGAGAAATTCCTGAAAAGTATAACCCTTAAGCGTTATAACCCTTAAAAGTCAAAATTCCTTGAAAATATATATTTTAAGTCACGTTTAAACGATTTTTAAATACAAAGTTCCTTGATGTATATTTTGTATGGCATTCCTAAACGATTCGTGGATACAAATTCCTCGAAGGAAGGAATAACTTTTCAGGCACTTGTGAAATTCGCATTAAATGAGACTTTGAGTAATCCCATTTTCTTTTCTGGGGATTTTCAGTGGAGTGGTGAAGAGCTCCTCGGGCGAATCCCTCCCAGCTGGAACCGTGACCAGTGCGCATCCGTACAAAATACCTCAGCCGCCCTCCTCGCTGCTCAAATACGAATCTGATTTTCCGCTGAGGAAGACAGGTGAGTAAAATAAACCCCTAGGAATTTCCATCTCAGCAGGTGGTTCATACCATCAAATCAAAAGATTGATATAAGCAATGAATTAAAAACAAGCTCTTGCCTGTGTTCCGTATTAAAATTCGTTATTTTTTTCGAATGGCCGACTGCCGTAAGTTCGATTTATTGTCTAACCACAAAAAGATAAGGGTTAACAAAGCGATTTTTACATGAAATTGGCAGATAAAAATAAATACTTCCTGGGAACACGTAACTGAAATGCCAGAGTTTGATTTGTTTGGATAATTTGCGTTGGGTAACACCATGGATATAATAGAAATTGCCTTGGGTTTGGGTTTTCCGCAAGTTTGGTTTCACTGTTTCGTAAGTTAATGCTGAAAAGGTTAAATTATTCGGTTTCTGGGTTTTGGGTTTAGTTGGAAAAGGTTAAATTGGGAAAATCAAAGACAGATAAATGCAAATAAACACGTTCTTTGCTCGCTTATAAATAGGAATGCATTTAAAAATAAATATGAACGTTAAGTTTCCGTTTTACTTGGCAATAAATTTAACTAATAACAATGATTTACAGCAGCTTTTTAAGCGATGGAGTGAAAAGTATAATTAGCAAAAACAAATTGTAGAATATATTAGAAAATAATCAGCTAAAAATACAAAGTATTTATCTTTAGTTTAGTGGGAATCCAGGAACTTGTAAAGTTTATTTACAAAAGCATGGCATTCGAAGTGCAATTACTAACTGCAAGTTTGTTTCCAAAGAGCAGAGCTTGAGTCCTTTGTCTTACTTATAAGCCCGATGCTCTTAACCCTCAAAACTAACCCATGCAATGTGTGCACCGCTTTCGAACCAATAAACCATAGCCTCCGAACCCAACCTGCTGAAGATCCGGCTGAAGCAGAGCGTCATCGAGCGGAAGGCCAGGATCGGCGGACCGGCGGTCGCCCGGCGGCACGAACGCCTCCTCCAGGCGGCCCAGCGCAGGCAGCAGAAGAACTCCGTTCTCACAAGTACGTACCATCCCATTATCCCTCACTATTCTCAGCCAGACCCATCAGAACTCAGGCGATGAAGATCCGAAATATCATTGAAGAGGAAGTTTTAGAATGGGGCAATACTAAGTTGAGTCAGTTGGTGTAAATGGGGAGATTTCAAAGGGGTTCTCAAGGTTTAAATTGAAATCGAAATTGTATTATAAAAGAACTCAAAATATTAGAACTGAAATCATCTCAGAATCAACATTTTTTAGGTAGTTCTTGTAAAAACTTTTAAGATTCTATCGTTGAAAAATACTCTTTATAAGGTTTTTGCGTTCCTAAGTTTTTTTTTTATCTAAGGGGATGTTTCTCTTTAAATATTATTTTATTTTCTGTATTAGTTTCTCATTATTATTATTTTATTTAAAATATTATATTTTTAAACTTTAAACTTTAATTTAGACACAACTGCATATCCTCAGATCATAATATTTAAAGGTTTCTTTCAGGATTCAAGTAATGAAAGGTTAAACCTCCCTATTAAATTACTGTTTAATCATTGTATAATACTGTTATAATTTACTCGTTGTTGCTTTTGCTTAATTGTTTCGCTGTTGTTGTTAATTAACCCCCAAAAGAAGCTCTCCAACTGACCAACTCGCTCAGCTCAATTAACCCTTAAGCTCTCATCCCTTATTCTTTACTTCTTATTAATCTAAAATATTATTATTATATGTAAACCCGTAGATTGCAACAGTACGCCGGATTCGGGACCCAATTCGCCGCCCTCGGCAGCCGCACTGGCGGTGGGCGTGGTCGGGAGCCGCGGCTCCCCGACGAGTGCGCCCATCCAGGAGGAGAACGAGGAGGGCAGCCAGTACCAGCCGGGTCAGCGGAGCAGCATCAACGACCTCCCTCTGTTCAGTTCGCCATCGCTGCCGAACATCTCGCTGGGTCGTCCGCATTTACCCAACTCTGCGCAGGCGCACGCCCAAGTGGCTGCCCAGGCTCAGGCCCAAGCCCAAGCCCAGGCCCAAGCTCAGGCCCAAGCTCAGGCTCAGGCCACCGCCCAGGCGAACTACGTGATGTTCGCTGCACTGCATCAGCATGTGGCCGCCGCCCAGGGAGCAGCCGGCGCCGCTGGCGGATCAGCCGGCGGGGCTGGCCAACCGCCCGGCGGCTACTACAATCCCCTGGCGATGGCCAGCTTCGTGGGTCGCCAGCCGGCACCGCTGGCCATGATCCCATCGACGGGCATTGCACCGCAGCAACCGTCGCCGGTGGTGCGCAGTGCCTCGGCCACATCGACGTCCTCGTCGCAGGCCTCACTTGTGGGCGATGTGGCGCCACCGCAGGCGCACGCCGCCTCCACCATTCTGCCCTCGTCCTCGTCGTACATGCACCAGCTGGCCGCCAGCAGCTCGGCCGTCAAGATCCATGCCGCCGCCGTTGCCGCAGCTGCAGCTGCTGCCGCCGCCGCGGGCTCACTGCCGCCCACAAATCACGGATCGCCGCACGCCGCCCATCCCACGGCCCACGGCCATGGGCATGGTGGTCATGGTCATGCGGCCCTGTACGGGCACAGCCATCTGGGCCACCACCAGCACACCGTGCCCATCACGGACGCCCAGGTGGCGCAGGTGCACCTCCACAAGCAGGGACACCGGCCGCTGGGTCGCACCCAGTCGGCGCCACTGCCACTGGGGCATCCCATGCTCACCGGAGCCGGCCAGCTGAACGTCGTCCAGACGCACTACGAGAACAGCGAGGTGGGTGGGGCAGGAGTCTCTTATATTTGCAATTCAAATGGATTTTTTTGGGATTTTAATCAATACCATCAAAATATCTTTAAGGGCTTAGAATTATTCGTATTTAAAAGTCAATTTAAAATTTAAAAAATACATTAAAAAAATAGTTACCTTATGCAGAATATTATTTTTATTGTTCTTAAATATATTAAATATTTAAATAGATTTTTTTGGGATTTTAATAATTTTTTAATGTAATACATATTGATTCGATTGGACACTTAATTGAAATCCCAAAATATTAACAAAATATGTTTAGGGTTTTAGAATTTAACTTATAATTAAAAAATTACATTTAAAAGGACTTCATCCTTAAGTGTCTTACTTAATCAAAAAATAATTAGAATTGATAGTCACCTTATGGAGAATATATCTTTTGTTGTTCTATTGAACTTAATCTTCTGCTATTTGCAAACCAGACTTTAGTAGAACATTTGAAGATGACCAAAAAGGAGCTAAGGATAGTTTAAAAGCTCATATTTTACAATGTTAAATTCAAATTAAATTAAAATCTTTATCCATTTAATATATCTATTTTTCAATTTTACTCAGATTAAATATGTTTAATTGTCCAAGATGGAGTTCAATTTGTTTTTTTTTTTTTTAAATAGGTAATATGTTGCTCTCTTGTTTATAATTTTTAATGATAACATCCTGAAGTTAGGCTTAAACTTTGTAACACTTTTACAAAGTGTATTAATAATGCTTTTCCAATACTTAACTTGTCATAATGTTATTAATAATAACTTATTTTTTGCATATCCTTCTATCCTTTCAGGCGGAGCGGCAGGCGTACGAGCACCAGGTGCTGAACCAGAAGCTCCGCCAGACCGTCCTCACCCGGAGTGGAGCAGCTGCAGCCGCAGCAGCCGCAGCCGGAGTCGGAGTCGGAATGCGGGAGGCGCAGCTGAAGGAGGAGGAGGACGACTCCGCCGCCGAGGTGATGGACCTCACCGACAAGAAGAAGCCGCCGAAGACGGTGCTCACCAGCACGATAGCCACCAGCACCTCGCAGAATCTTCCCGATGCTCTGGCGGCGGCGGTGGCAGCGGCTGCCTATCGCGCTCCACCCGCGACGGGCGCTTCGATCAAGTCGGGCATAAAGCTGCGCGACCAGGAGTACTTGCAGCAGCAGCGGGAACAACTACTCCAGCTGCAGCAGGAGGAGGAGCTGGCCAAGGGCCTGATGCGACCCCTCTCAAGGACTCTGAGCAGTCCCCTGGTGCCGCTGGGTCCGCACGGCTTGAGCTCCGGAATACCGGACACCGGACAGCAGCCGGCACCGATAGCCACCTCTTCGTCGGCCGATCACATACCGCCCGTCAATCTCTCGCTGCCGCATCGCCAGCACCGCCAGCTGATGAGCACCTTGTACGCCGGCAAGCTGCGGATTCATCATCACCAGCAGCAGCAGCAGCAGCAACAGCAGACGCCACCGCCACCTTCATCGAGTGTTTCGCCACCGCATAAGGTCACTACGGGATTGGCCTACGATCCTTTGATGCTGAAGCACTCGTGCATCTGCGGGGACAACGCCCAGCATCCGGAGCACAGTGGCCGCTTGCAGAGCGTCTGGGCGCGACTCAACGAGACCGATCTTGTCAAGCGTTGCGATCGGTTGCGTGCGCGGAAAGCCACGCAGGAGGAACTGCAGACGGTGCACACGGAGGCGCATGCCATGCTGTTCGGCTCCAACCAGTGCCAGTTGAGCCGGCCCAAGTTGGAGAACACGCTGTCGGCGAGCTTCGTTCGGCTTTCCTGCGGTGGACTGGGCGTGGACCTGGACACCACGTGGAACGAGCACCACACGGCCACCGCTGCTCGGATGGCCGCTGGCTGTGTGATCGACTTGGCCCTGAAGACGGCCAAGGGGGATCTGCGCAATGGCTTTGCTGTTGTGAGGCCTCCGGGCCACCATGCCGAGGCCAATCTGGCCATGGGATTCTGCTTCTTCAACTCGATCGCCATCGCGGCCAAGCTGCTGCGTCAGCGGATGCCCGAGGTGCGGCGCATCCTCATCGTCGACTGGGTGAGTTTCGGGTTTTAGACAGGGGAAATCTCTAGATGCAATAATATATAATAAATAATAGTAATCCATTATAAATACCTTGCAATAATTTTAAAGGTGTAAAGTTAATTTAACAGTTTAAAGATTCACTTTTTTTTACAGTTAACTATTTATTTATAAGGCAAGCTTAAATAGATTTAAGGCATTCAAACTGCCTTTTAAGCTTAATTTGAAATTTGTATATCTCATGTAGAGAAGCCTAAATACTTTCATAAAAAATATGATAACAAATAATTTTATTCATTATTAAGTTTAAAGATTGAAGTTAAACAGAACGTATTCCAATCTATATCTTCTTTCCTAAAGATTTCGTTTTATTTTTAAGAATAATCTTTCATATGAATTTTTATACAAAATGTTTAAGATGTTATAGTTCCTAGAGATTTCCCCAATATCCCTGATTAATGAATTTTCATAATCTTAAACCTTTGCTAAATATCCTTGTATTTATTTCAGGATGTGCACCATGGCAATGGCACTCAGCAAGCATTCTACCAAAGTCCCGACATTCTATATCTTTCCATACATCGACACGATGACGGTAACTTCTTTCCCGGCACAGGCGGACCCACAGAGGTAATGCCATTCACCCATTCCTTAATCTATAGATGTAACTAATCAAGTGAAATGATATATCTTTCAGTGCGGATCCGGTGCTGGACTCGGCTTCAACGTGAACATCTCATGGTCCGGGGCGCTGAATCCGCCGCTGGGCGACGCCGAGTATATCGCTGCATTCCGTACCGTTGTGATGCCCATCGCACGGAGCTTCAATCCGGACATTGTGCTGGTCTCCTCCGGCTTCGATGCGGCCACCGGACACCCGGCACCGCTCGGCGGCTATCATGTCTCGCCGGCGTGCTTCGGCTTCATGACCCGCGAACTCCTCCAGCTGGCCAATGGCAAGGTGGTGCTCGCCCTGGAGGGCGGCTACGATCTGGCCGCCATCTGTGATTCCGCCCAGGAGTGCGTGCGTGCCCTGCTCGGCGATCCGGCATCGCCGATAGCCAAGGCGGAGCTGGAAAGGCCGCCCTGCCAGAACGCCATCAATACGCTCCAGAAAACGATAGCCATTCAGGTGAGCGCTTGGATTACCAATTCATCTGGTTAAAATTCTTATAACTGAATGCTTCTCCTTGGTTTCTGCAGCAAACGCACTGGCCTTGTGTGAGGATGCTGGAGCACACGGTGGGTCTGTCCGCTCTGGAGACGCTCAAGGTGGAGCACGACGAGTCCGAGACCATCAACGCCATGGCCGGACTCTCCATGCAGTCGATGCACAGGTGCGTTCCCAAATAGAATTGAATCTCCTCTTAAATATAATGAAATATATAGTGAGTTTAGAAATTTAAAGAGGTTATGTTTGGGAAGCCAGTTAATTGAGTAGCTTAAAAATGTTTATCCTTAATGATTTTATTTAAAAATGTTGGTTATAAAAAATGAAATGTTTTTATTTGTTTTGTAGATAATTTTAAAAGGTTATGAACACGATTCAAAATTTTAAATGCTGATAACTACGATTCAAAGATAACAAAGTCTCTTCAAAAGTTATATTTATTAAAAAAGCCCCTATGAAAATTAATATTAATATAGATATGTATATAATAAGATATATGATATTTAAGAAATATGATTTTTGAAATTGCCCTTACACGCTTGTTCTAATTTATTATTGTTCTTCACATTTAAACAGTTCTTATACTTTTTATATTTTATGCTTAATAATATTAAAGTTGGTTTTAAAAAACGTTTTTAAAAATTCAAAAAAATTGATAAATAGACCTAAGCTAGTTAATATACTTTTATATACAAATTATCGATTATATATTTGTTTTTGTCCTTGCAGAACTCTATCCCGCGATGACTCCGAGGAGCCGATGGATCAGGATGAAACCAAATAGGAGGCGACGCGGGCGGCGGAACTTGAGGAGGCGGTGGGCGTGGCTGGGGAAGGAATGGCGAAGGGGGCGTGGCCGCAAGCTGCTCAATGCACATTTAGTTATTTGTTGTAGTTGAATTGATTGTTGTTGCTGTTGTTGTTGTGGCGCTCGCTTTCAATTGTTGTCGTTGTCATTGATCGTCTATAGCCACATCCATCTCTCTCTTTCGATCGCAAGCGATATCCCTATTAAATTCCCAATCCCTTAAATTGAAATGCCCCTCCGCAAAAAAAAAGAGAAACATCGAAAATATTGTAGGGAAAAAATGGTTAAAGAAGCAGAACAGGGCCTAAAGTTCAAAATGGTGGCTGTGCCTCCAAAAAGAAATAATTATAAATAATTAGAGCAACAAAAATAACCCCGAGAAACTGGGTAATTTTTTTTATGAATATATAGTATATGGTGAGAATTTAGTTGTAGAATTCCTTGAGAGATTTTTTTTTTTTTTTTTTTTTTTAAGGGTAGAGGAGAGGTATTTTACGCACACACACAAACACACGCAACTCAATGTATCTTATTATTATTACTATTATTATAATTTAAGTAAGTGTGTTAAAATGGATATAGAACTACTAACCTAATGGTAAATCAGTAAACTATAAAGTTAAACTTAAAAGGAGATCAGGTGCAAGAAGCGTGTGTTTTTATGTAAGGTTCAACCTCGAAGTCCCTAAGAATATAAAATCCCCACCACGCCCACTCTTCCGCCACCCTTTTTAAACAGATCGAGAGAGAGAGAGAGGAGAAGGGAGGGGATTACGTGTTATGTAGAATGCTTTAGTTGATATAAGAGAATATGAGAGAACTTAACAGCTAACAAGTTGAAAGGAAAGGCGAAAAACTGAGAAATCTTTTTGTACAATTTATAGTTTAGTGCAAGTTTCAAGTACAACATAATATTATTTAAAGAATTCTATATATATCTAAATATATATATTGTGCAATAAATGTGAGAAAATGAAAATCGAGTGCAGAGCAAAAACAAAAACACACAAAAACAGAAACTAAAACTAAAACGAATAAGAGAAAATTGTTGTTAAATGTTGCCGAGATCTTATATACGTATGTATACCCAATAACTGTTACAATAATAACCCTTTATATATATGAGTATATATAAATATATATACATAAATGCACATGTGTATTCACCGTGTGTATAACGATAACGATGTTCAACAAATGTCTGAAATGAAGTAAAACTATTATTATATGTAAATAAAACACAAAACAAAGTGAACCATTTTAATAAAAAAAACGAGAGAAAAAAACAAACACCTTAAAACATTTACGCTCACACACACATACACATATACACGGCCTGGGCAGGACCCGAAAGGCGTGAATCGGGTAAAGTCTGGAATACCCGTTTAAACGCTAACCGTTAACTGTAATACCGCTGTAATTGTATTTGTACTCGTGTACCTTTTGCTGTCTATAGCCGTCTCTCTCTAAACCGCTACCTTATTGTAAAGGAGCAAGTCAAAAATCGGAAAATAACGGAGCAACAGTCCAAGGATCAAAAAAATAAGTAAGGAAAATGGAACAAGAACAAGATGATGATTAAGAAGGAGAAGCACAACGAGAGATGGACCGATTGGCTCCAACTGGAAGAAACAATTGTTAACAAAACGAAACAGAAACTTAAAACTAAACTTACAAAATAAAATCTCAACAATGTAACTATTAAGCTAAGCTAAAAAGAGGCCATTGGCAGGGCTTTTAAAAATTTATATTTTCTTCCCCTTTACGTTTTTAACACAGAGAATATGGTTAGGCATTAAGATTTGTAAACTTTTTAACGGTTAAAAAATATTTTTCGAACCTTTTAATATAGGCTAACACATTTTTATTTATCAGTTTGCTGTTTTAAAACGATTACGTTTCTAAAGCCAAGAATTTAGATACTTTACCCAAAATACAAATTAAAAATTGAGGTTGAAGTTACCATTGTTTCGACAGTCTGTATCAGATAAAGAAGTCTTTACCGTTATAAATTTATAAAACTGTTAATATCCATATTCTGTGTGTCCAATCTTTGCTTCTCCCTATAATTCTTTTTCGGTTATCTTATTATAATTTGGTAATGGCCTAGGGGTTATCTAAAAATTCCTACCCCCACCACCCGTTTACCTCTCTTAATTGCGAGTTTTTCTGAAAAACCTTAAACTGATAACAAAACATTTAAATAACTGTACTAACAAAAAGAAATATTGTTGCTGCGCACTGCAAAAAAATGTATTCCGTAAGCTGGGAAATAGTTACAAATGGTTTTATCAAAACGAAATCAAATATTTATATTTTGTTTATTGTTGCACAAATAAGTCCAAGAAACAGAAAAAAAAGAGTAATAATGTGTGTCGCTTTTTCTAAATGAAATAAAATGAAGAAATCGTCAAAAAGTAATAAATAATGACTTTGTCTGTTTTTTCTTCTCATTGAAAATCAAAAAAAGAAAGAAAAAATTAAAAATTAATATCAGCTTGTTTATTTTCAACATTTTTCTGAATCTTTATATATTCATAATTTTTTATAATTTAAATATATTAAACAAGCCAGCTAAGATGGAATTTGAGATCGTTTTCTTTATTTAAGATATACGTATAACATTGGCGGTTAACAATATTTGATTTAGTAAATATTTAATTAATTAGTTAGGTCGTTAAATTACCGATAAACAACGTTCACAATGCCCGGGGCAAGACTTTGGTGTTTTCTCCCACATTTTGGGAATATACTCAAGCAAGGCCTAAAATTAAAAGGTAACGAGAAAGATTATCATGCTATTAACGAGTTATTAGCTACGCGTGCTATATTTATAAATGTAATTGAGTATCTGCTTCCATTCTGCCGTCATGTCATTATAATGTCATATGCCATATGCCTCATCTTCAGGTCACGGGTCTCACATATCTGATTCTGATTCGAGATTTGATTGTGCTCTGTGGGGTTTTTCAGAAACACGGGAAACTCCTCCGGAATGTGGATGTGGTTTTCATTCTTGTCTTTTCTTGTCAACTGGGTCTTGGGACCGAACAAACAACGCGAAGCTTGGATCGTATTTATATATATATATATATATATATCTGTATATATCTGTCTATATAGTATAAGTTTTGCGGTGTATACGTGTACGTGGAGTCAACGCTTCTGATTTAGATGCGTACTCGGATTCATCGCTCTCGCCCCTCCATCCATTTTCACTTAGAAGCTAATAATTGAGACTGCTTTTTGGGGCACATCCAGCTTCATATGCCTCACTGCCGTGCCACCATGTCCAGGCCACCCTCCTCCTCCATCTTGGACAGGAACTTGATGGCCCTCTGCGAGGGCTCCGTCTGCCTAGCCATGTCGATCAGGCCCAACAGCTTCTTAATGCCGATGAAGACCCTAAACGGGGTGAAGATTTAATCAATAATGAGATTGGTTTCAAATTATTACAGTAAGAATTCAGTTAGAAATGATACACTGAAGTTGTGTCGAAATAAAAGATTTAATCATTAATTCGATTGTTAGTTTTGAGTTACACATGGGTAATATTGAGTATATTAAAATAATATAGTAACGTAGACTACATTTGTATTATCTTTCATATAATTTATTTAATGAAAACCTATGAAATTTGATTAAGTTGAAAAGTGACTAAGGCAATACAAAAAAAAAAGTGGAAAACTTGCTTAGTTTTTTTTTTTTTTAGAAAATTTAGAAGAAAACATTCATCATTGCAACATGAGAAATACATTACTTTCATAGCCAATATAAATTTTTTGAGCAACCAAGTATTCAACATCAGAAATAAATGCCATTTGAAGTCAAAAATTATACTCTCAATCAAAAACATTTCGTTTACCCAAGAAGATCTATTATGGTTTCTAAAAACTTACCGCTTGCCGGCCATCTTCTTGCCAATGGCCTGGACCTCTCCCTTGCTAAAGATGTCCGTGTGCTCGAGGACGGCCAAAACGTGTTCCGGGTGCGAGAGATTGGGCACGTGGAGCACCGAGGTGAAGGCCGTCAGCATCTCCATCTCCTCGAGAACCTCCCTATAAGAGGTATACAATTAGATAAAGGGAATACATATGGTTACTCATTCAGAAAGCCCACCTCCTGCTCGAAGTGCACAGGATGAGCAGCTTGCGTCCCTTTGGCGGCTGTTTCTTGAGCAGAACGAGCAGTGCCTGCAGCGTCATATTGGAGTAACGCGGTCCAATGGATCCGTAGTCGAGCAGACGCTCCACATTGTCCACCACAATGCAGCTGAGTGTGGAGCGGTAGGCGTCATCGAAGATCTTGCGGATGTGCAGACACTTGGCTGACTCAGTATAGCCAACCATATCCTCCGGCGAGCAGACCTTCACGAACGGGAAGTCCGACATCTTGGCCAATTGGGCAGCCAGTGCTGTCTTGCCAGAGTTTGGAGCTCCAGCCACCAAAACGGAGACCAGACCACTCGATTCGGGAGCCTTGGCCTGTTGTACATACAGCATTCCGTCCTCCAGAAGATTGCTAACCGGAGTTCCCCAGTTGATCACACCACGTGCCAGCATATTGTCGAGGATTTCCTGAGCCGTTCCAAAAGCCGGCTTGATGTCGTTCTCCAACGAGTGCAGGAAGTCATCGCGATTCACCTTTAGCTTCTCCATGGCCTCCGGGTCCACGGTTACCTTGGCATCCGCCTTGATCAACCGATTCATGGCACTCGATTGAGCGGCACGCACCAAACCCTCCAATTCAGCGCCACTGAAGTTCTTGGTCAGCGCCGCAATCTCCTTGTTATCCACATCATCGTTAATCTTGTTGAAATCCCTCATCCGCTTGGTGTGGATATTCAGGATCTGAACGCGACCCTGTTCGTTGGGCAAACTGATCTCCATTTGCACCTCGAGACGACCAGGTCGCAGCAACGCCTCATCGATCATGTCCCTGCGATTGGTCATTCCAATAACGAGGATATTGTTCAACTGATCCACGCCATCGATTTTGGTGAGCAGTTGATTCACCACGGTATCGTGGACACCACTGTTTCCTGCCACCGAGCCACGTTGCTTGCAAATGGCATCGATCTCGTCGAAGATGATGATATGTAGACCACTGTTCGGTCCCAGGCGCTTCTCCTCCTCCTCAGCCTCAGCAAACAATCGCCGGACATTGGCTTCCGATTCGCCCACGTACTTGTCCAGAATCTGTGGTCCATTCACGATCTTCGGCTCGCGGGCATTCAACATGGTGCCAATTTGACGGGCCATCAGGGTCTTACCCGTTCCCGGTGGACCGTACAAAAGGATGCCCTTCACGTGCTTGCAACCCAGTTGCTCGACCAATTCCGGGGAAAAACACGCGAGGCAAACGCCCGACGGAAGATCGAATTGAATTCCTTGTCCAGACCGCCGATTCCCATCTTGCCAAAGTCCCAATCGGGATTGATGATCGACTGGCGGACGACTTTGCCCTTGCTCTTGCCCTGCAGATTGAGGGAACTGTTCTCGGCCTTCTCGAACTGCACCACCGTATTGCCAAGAATCCGACCGAAACGCACATTCCGCATCGCCGGCTCCTTGCCTTCGCCCAAACTCTTGGGATCGATGGCCTCCAGGGACTTCACAGCCAGACCCAAGAGCTTCTTATCCTTGAAGTTGAAAACCAGGGATTGGCCCACAGTTAAAGCCATGCCAGCGAACTGCATGATGAACTCCTTGGCCATTTGATCCGAGTCATAGGGCTCCTGGGAAACGCTGTCGATAAAATATATAGTATATACACATTACATAACACCAAGGAATGACTATTGTATACTATGTACTCACGTTTTCTTTTGGAGAAAATCCGTTTCGAAGGACACACAGGTGATGACATCCGAGGAGGCATCGAAGCGATAGGGACGAACCTCCAGCTCCTGGTTGATGGACACCATGGCCCACTTCCTTTGCACCAAAGAGAATCCCACATAGCCACTGGGCACTTCGACGGTCTTTTCCAAAGCGAAAATGAAGTGCTGACCAGCGGCTGGCGATATGTCAGCATATCTGGAGATAAAGTAAGGGTTCTATATAGTAAAGTAACTTATAATGATATCTTGGTAGAGCAACCCACTTGACTTCATCCGGAAAGTCGCCAACATTCACAATTGCTCGATTGGTTAGCGAAAGCTCGTCCGTGGGGCATTTGGTGGCTTTTAAACGCTGCAGGAATAATTTAAACCAATTAGCAACTCCCAAAAAAAGAAAAGCAAAGCTAATTTAAATAATTTAACTCACATAAGCCATGTCTTCAGTTTTTGCTTTGGTTTTGTGGTACTTTTTCTGGGGGTTGTTTACAAGCAGCACAAAAATCGATAAGAATTGGATAGGATACTAGAAGGATGTTATGAAGACTGCTTTTCTTGGTTACTAAAACCTATATTTCAATGAGTTTTAGCCTTTAGAGGGTGTCCACAGTATCGGCGACTTAACCTAACTGAGTTAAAGCTACTCCACAAATGTCAAACTTTGTTTTTGCTGAATTTTCAGAACAAGAGACTTTAGCTTTTTCAATCGATTTTGCACATGCGCGCCATTCACTGTGACCGTAGCTTAATAGTCAAAATATCTCCACTCAATCTCGCCAAAATTTGCCACAAAATACCAAAATCAGAAAAGTATAAATTATGTTTATTAATTTTATAAGGACAAACAATCATGAACACATAAAGCGTTACAACATAATCGAAAGAAATCATTGAAATATTTGAAGCAGTGGCGGATACAGGGGGGGGGGCGATAGGGGCGATCGCCCCCCCTCAGCTTCTGAAAAAAGGTGCTTCACTGGCGTGAACTTCGGAAACCTGCGTGTTACAGCGTGTCGCCAGTCCTTCCTTGCCCTACTTCTTCCCTTGTCTATCGCTCCTCCTAAGACTAACTAGCCTAGCATTGCTACATACGCATTCCGAAATCAGTATTCACATCGAGAGAGTTATAGAAAAGTTTTTAAAAAGAGGGAAAAGAATAATGGAATTCGCCATTTAGATTAAAATTAATTAATTTATTTGTACAGAGTGTTTTGAATAAAACTGCGTATAATTTTTGATTATTTGCCACCTGCTACTTGCATTGTTTAAAAAAAAATTTTGATCGCCCCCCCCCAGGCAGATACCTGTATCCGCCCCTGATTTGAAGTATTTTAGTTTCAGATTTTCAGCATTGATGTCTATTCATAATTGTACTCAATATCAACAAGTTCTTTTAGCGATCTGTTAAAAAAAAGAACTCTATATTACCAGTGCAACAATAACAAGTTAAGATAATATGGCAGAATATTATTTTGTATCCACCACTTTTACCAGTACAAATTTAAACTTATTAATCTATCGAAAGATTCCCTTTTGTGCGCTGACAAAAGCTAATTGCCACGAACTTCATCCGGTAAGTCATGAGCACTGGTTGCAACAGCTTGCTAGCGACATGTTTACTGACCGCTTGCAACATGCTGCAACATATTATTGCCGCCGAATTAAAAAAACACAGGATTGATAATAATTTTTTTTTAATATTCATTGGTTTAGTTTTTTCATAATAACCTTTAATATTAATATTTTACACAAAATCCATTATTGAGCATTACTTTTTTGTCAGTTCCCGGCATGCGAACAAGTTAGATCGGACATGTTCGAACAGTTATCCTTCCTCACCTTTGATGTCCTCTGTTCACCCGTTAGGAAAAAAACGTTCTCCCATGTAAAGTATTTGTTAGCCAAGGGGGGGGATGAGCCTCTAGGGGGCGAAAATTACTGCCAAATGGTCAGTTTTATCTACAGTTTTTAACGCTTGCATGGCGCTCTCATTTAAAAATAATATCGATATGCGATACTTCGGTCAAAAGCTAAGGCGATAGTAATATTTGCTTTTATAAAGTGTAATCGATGTATCGATGTTTTGATATATTTTCGACATCCCTAGTTTTGTTATTGTTACTGTTGCTCGGGTCGCGCGCGCTTCGTTGCCGAAAGAGATATCAACAAACCGCCGTCGCGAACGGTAATCGGGAGAATTCGATTAGGAAACGAATCTTTATCAAAAATGCCGAATGCGTGTGGAGTCCGTTATATAATTGTGTAGTAGTATTTCACCGAACTTTTACCGCCATCGGATTATAATTTATTTTTTTTTTTGCTGTGAGTGCGTGTGAAGAGGGTAAATAAATCGAAGACGAAAAGCGAAAGATAAAAGCAAAACTGCAGCGAGCGGCAAAGAGCGTGGAAAATACGCGGACTACCTGTCGAGCCAAAGATCTCACCGGATTTGTAGTTGTTGTTTCTGTTCTATTACTTTTTTTTATTCGGTTGTTTGCCGAAGGTCGCGGGTTTGAAACCTCTCCTCTTTTTTTTTTGCCGTGCCCGGTGCACGTGCATTAACCGTTATATATTTAAAAATTAAATACAACGAACTGTTGAAATCAAAAACACACAAATCATGGAAGAGATCCCGCTGACAAGAATGCTGCGGACTCTGATACCCTTCCACTGTCTGATCTTAATCACCTGCGCCTTTAATCTGGAGCAGCGATTGCCGATCGTGAAATATGGCCACCTGCACTCGCACTTTGGCTACTCGGTGGCCACCCACACAATTGGCGAGGCCAATGGGCCCAACAAGACAAATTGGTAAGTGGCGTTACGAAATGCGGATAAATAAGCCAAAATACTAGTTACGCAACTCCCGGGAGAATCATTAGCAAAAAGTTCGATTGGCTGAAGCAGCTGGAAACGCTCTGAAAGTTAAACGCTTTTAAAGTTTTCACGAGCCACACGTACATAAAGATAAACTAAAGTTAATTTTTTAAACAGTGCCCAGTAAAATGTTTAATTATACTCTTTCCTCCAAGAACAATAATTTTTGTAATCGTAAATTTTTCTAGTTTGTTACAAGTATATTATCTAGTAAATTTAAAATGAAATTTAAAAGCATTTAATTATAAACCCTTTGTATTGAAAATGTACTTAAGTACAGAATATGATATTTTTAAACTACAAATGTTTACATAAAATAGAAATGAAATATTTAGTAGTATCTCCTTTAGTATTGGTAAAATATAAGAACTTTTTGTTCTGCTCTAAAAACTGGAACAAACATTTTATTTAAGTAGATCGATCTATTTTGCAAACCCTGCTTCAAATAATCCTTTACCTTTCCAAATATTCAATAATCTCCTTAACGATTTATTTCAAAAATGCCTTGTTGCCTAATTTCTATTTTTCTGTTGAAAAATTTGGGGTAAACAAAGCGGAGAAGATCAGGTAAAGGAGAATGGCCAGCAACTTGTCTTGTCTAGGTAAGAAAAAAAAAATCGGAATTCTTGGTGGAACGCGGGGAATCTCCTCGTTCGGTGCGAAAACAGGTTTTTATTTTCGCCAAATCGATTTCAGCTTAATTGACTGGCATTGATTGTTATTAATCAGCAGACCGGCCAACAACAAATATTAATTTGCATTGCAATCGCTGTTTGCTGTTGTTGTTATTATTGTTATTATTGTTGTTGTGGCTTTCAATGTTTGCTAATGCGCGAAACTTGTTTCAAGTCGTGTTTTTATTGTTGGATTACCATAATGTGTTTGAATATCGAGTATTTCGAGAGATGATGCCAGGCTTTAAATAGTTTTCTGCCAAAACGCAGTGGATTAAAACGAATCGAATTAAATGGTAAACCAAATGCATTTCCCAAATGCACGACAGCTGGTGCCAACATGTTGGAATTAATCAGACTATTAACATTTGGGTCGATTTATTATTCATCTCTAGTTGTTTGGACTTGGTGGATAAATATACATTTTGTTGTCTATTAAAAGTCTAGGTTGATTAAACATTTAAGTTTTGGGCATACCATAAATATGTTGTCATAGCTGACTAATTGTTTTACTATTATTATCGTTCTATAACTAAGTAGCTTTTAGTGAGTAGTTTAACAAATTAAAACCAATATACAAATTTAATTTGATTATCATAATTTTAACTAGGGAGTTTGTTGAGTCCTATTTCAACTGTTTGTAATCATTAAACCTTTAAGTTTTTAGGTCTTGAGTATTACCATAATTGAAAAACGAAACCCTAAATATACACTTAAACAAAAGTGGTGAAATTTCGAAGACGCCTCGCCGGTTTAAATGATTTGTTTACTTAACGATAGGGAAATGAGTTCTGCGTATTTGTGTTCGCCGGTATTTGAGTAAGGATTCGCTCTGTTTGTTTTTTAAAATATTTTCGAGTTTTTGAGTGTTTACTTTACATCTTTTATTTTTGCAAATATTTGTGGATTCCTTATCTGCGCAGTCTTACGACTTTTTGCCTGTCTTATTTTTTATGGGACAGATAACAAGTAACAGATAGTCGGAGAACAGGCGAAATGTTTGTCTTCCCATTTGGAAAGCCCCTCCTTTTTTTCTCTTCCACTTATTTTGTATTTCCCCCATCCAGCTTGTTGTTTTCTTAACCCTTTAATTTCGCACCTTTAAAGAGTTCAGCGGATGTCGATTAATTTGCAGTTGTCATTGGGTTCTGGGGGGGCTTTGGCACTCATTAAAGGTGCCATTGGCCTGGCTTAAATGTCTGCACTCCCTCCAAATGGCAACTGTGTGCTGGCCTCCGCCTTTTCGCCATACATCTATTGGCCAAAACCAAACTCGGCAGACAAAACGGAGCCAGACGGCAATGGCCATAAAAATGGGCAGACAACAAATCCGGAATCAATACAAGACGCGACTTGGATGCGCCAAATACACAGCAAATATTTTGCTCACATTGAACAACTATTTCTTACTTACGATTCATTCCATTAGGAAAATTCTAATTTGCCTCTCGCATTTATTGAGAATGATTTATTGATTTGCGGAGTAGCCAAGCGTCTAATATTCGCGGGGGAATAAATAAATAGCGAAGCGTAAGAATGCTATCATATAAAAATTAGGAACATATTTTTTCTAAAACGTACAAATAAAACATAAATCATCGTTAGCTGAATTATGTTTTATTTGCAAACATATAACATATGGTAAACAATATCTTTTTAATTCATTTAAATTTGCATTTTAAGAGTAACAATTTTTAGGCAAAACAAAATATTATTCATGTGAGATGGGTGAACTTAAAAATTGTTTTTTTTTCTTAAAACATTTTATTACTAATAACTTAGTATATGTTGCAATGGGCTTACTTTTTTCGTCGTGCACTGATATTATGGTGACATTCCCCCAGTTAATCCCCAGCCAGTTTGCACTCTTGGCTCTTTTTAGAGCTGGCCAACTATTTTTTACTCCACTTCGTTGGGTTGTCAGTGGGTCAAAGCAATTACACTGGGTGTTGCCCCACCGCCTTTTGCCTTAAACAGTGGCTAATCGAGATGTATTCCCACCGCCTGTCTAAAGAGATTTCTTGAGATTTTCCAGGGGCCACTTCTGTATTTTAGTATCTGTGTCCAGAATCTGTATCCTTTATATATCTCTATTTGAATCCCATTGATAATTGATACCTGTTTTAATACTGGAAGAAAATCTATTTATTCTAACCAATTATTCATAAAGTATGTCAGAAAGCTAGAAGCAAAAAAATAGAAGGAAAATTGTGTACTTCTATTAAAGTAAAGGTTTTTTTTATTGCCATTGACACACTTTCCCACAGCGGATTCCACAACGGATCTGAGTTTCCCATTTTCAATCCCGGCTTGAGCATGTGCGTTATTTTTTGTTCATTCGGATATTTAAAGGTCTTTTTACCTTATACAAGCTGAATGGGCGAGTGTTCTGCATTCCCAATTAGGCGAAATGCATTTGTCACTGTGTCAGGCGAAGATCAAGGTTCGGGAAATATGAAGCGCGATTCAAAAGCCGCCGACCGCAATCAAAAATCCATTTACACGTTCACTCGCACGATTCGTGGTTGCCCCAAGTGGATGATGGTCATGTGGATTTGGATTGGGGGCTTTGGTTTGCTGACAGGCGAACGTCATGTCCGTCATGCAACTCGATCCCCCCTCCTCCCTCTCCTCCTCTTGTGATTCCCCTTTCCCACCTTTGATGATAACTTCTTGGGGTTTTCGGACGTGCGGATCACGCGCCTTGTGGGGTCGTCGGAATGGGAACTCCGAATGGAAGTCCGTGCTCCCAACTCCGGAGGAGGATTACTCACGTGCGAATCTCGTGCAAGTGATGGAAACCTTTGAAGTAGTTCAAGCAAATTAAATGAAAAGTTTGAAGCGAGTTGAGGAGTCTAAAAAAAGTTAGAAGGGGGATAAATGGATGAACTGACAAGCGTAAAATTCGATTATTTTGATAGAATTATAACATAAAATTATTTAAAAATAGTGGAAATAAGGTAATCCAATTTTAAGTGTCAAGATATAAAAACTAGAACATTGTAAAGAACAATTATATTTAAATGAACCGAGCTTAACAACTTTGTAGCAAAAGCCTGATTTACGTGTTTATAGAAAACAAAATATCACGTATGGAACACTATAATTAAAACTAATCATCCATAATGAAAAATAAGTATATTACATTTTTATTTATTTCTTATACTGAAATTTTAAGAATGCTAGCCTCATTTTGTTCCATTTGACTGTGCAACATTTAAACTTTAACCGATTAACTGAAAAGGTAAACCAAATGCTGATTTAGACGAGTTCCTAGTGTGAGGTTATCAGTTTGGAAAATGACGCACTGGAAATCGGAAGAAGCTGCATTATCTTAGCGGATGTGAGATGATTTTTTGTTTTTTTTTTTTTTTTTAACGAAGGCCGTGATGCAAGTAATCGTTGCATGGCAATTTCCCGACTGACCGATAACTGCAGTGCGAAACCTTGAATTTGCAACTCGTTTCGTGCCCGCCTTTTGTTTTTGTTATTGTTATTGTCATTGTTTTGCTTTAATTTGTTTGCACTCTGCGATTGTCGCATATTTGTTTTATTAATGAGAATGCAGTAAACGAAAAGGTACATATGCAAATAATGTCACTCGCTTATCGCCAGCCCATCTTCATTTTTTTCCAGCTACGTGCCGCAATTATCACCCTCGATCATATGGAGTACAAATTGCGATACGCTGCAGGGACACTCGATTAATACTCTTGCCGGAGATTTTATTATTATTACACTTTTGGCATTCACATCACCATAAAGTGGTTTTATTTTTACGCTACTTTGTGAATAAGTTTACGCATTTTAATCATTACCAAAGATTAATCATATATAATCACATCATATATGCAATAAAATTGAAGACCAGCTCAGAGGTTGAATTTTATTAATATAATACATCCATTCTCTAAAATATTGCATATAAAATTAAAAACATTCAGTTAAAAAAAAGTTAAAATATTACAATTAAAACTCTATTCATTTACTATTTTTATAGATTATGTTTTAAATATAATTTTTAAAAACAATCTGATTAAAGTTGGATTTTATTAAGTGTTTTATCAAATATATATATTTAGGAAATAATGCATGTTTCTTTTTTAAATCAAATGGAGCAAAAGGAAGCAACTTTGTAGGTTTTCTGTAGTTTAAAATCACTCTTTGCTGGCATGTAAATCTCAGAGATTCCGGGGATCTTGTAGATTCGGTATCTCTTGTAGATCTTCTTCTGCTGGTCCCTCCACATCCCATTTTCGT